CCGTCATCTGCACAACTTTCTCGAGCTCGTCACGACGACGCTGGCAGCTCAAAGAAATGTTTGGACTTGCGATTCCACGCACAAACACTGGCCATCGCAAGCCAATGCTACATGTATGGCAAAGCTCACCGATGATGGCTCCAGCCGGGACATATAGCAAATCCCCGGGACCAACCGTGCCACTCTCCAGCGTACAGGAGCTTGTGAAGTCGGTGATGGTGCCAGGCCCCATGCTGCGGAAAAACCTCCCCATCCTGGCTGCGGTGGTCAAGCCTTCCACCCCCTTGCGCTGCATGTAGCTGGACGATTGCAGACTGTCTGCCAAAATGACCCGCCGCGTACCCGACAGGTTCAGCCTCACACACGCCACGCCAACGGATTCAGACGCAACCCTGTCATAGGCGTGGTCCATGCCAAACATGGACAGCACGACCTGCTGCTTCACGGCATCAGGCAACTGATCCTGCATGATAATGCTTTGGCCACTTCCCTTGAAAAGCTTCTGCGCCTCAAAACCACCAAAGTCAAACGGAGTCTTGGCCGGGCCCAAGCGGACGGTTTTGGAAGCCCGCGCGCCACGCTGCTGCGTCCTCACCACATCAAAGCTGGCTTCGAACTCATCCAAGGCCACCCGCAAAGCGCTCTGGTCTTGCTTTGCAGAGCTGCACCAAGCATCATTGCGCACAACGAACGGGCGAGTCAAGTTAGGCACCGTGGGCCGGTCCAGCTTGGCGAGGGCCTCCAAAGAATGCGAAATTATTCCCCGGGAAGCGGTCACACCCTGCTCAAACAACAGGATGGTTGCAGAGGTCTCTGCAGCCGCCTTTGCCTTCTGCGCCTTGCTAGCACTCTGCTCAGCCTGCCTTTTTTCCTTGTCCATGGCCGCCTTCAAGCTCTTGTCTGCTCGCAATGATCCCGAGAGCAGCTGACTGACGGGGCCACGCACATTGGCCAGCTTCTCGGACACATCCTGCGAAGGATTTGCAACACGTGCAATGGACAGTGCACATGAAACCTGCTGGCGCATGTTGAGCATGTCTTCTACGCAGAATCTGGGCGGGGCAAACCCTCGTTTTGGGACAGGAAAAAAAAGGATTTGCTAGGGTCAAAACTCCTTTAAAATCTGGGTAAGGCAAAGCTGGGTAAGGCAAAGCCGCTTTTCAGGGCTGGAAAAAGGGGTTTGCTAGGGCCAACTTCCGCTAGTTTGCCTGGCTCGTTCTTATCCCCCTCGGCACACGGCTGGTCTGGAGTTTGGCACTTGTTGTACTCCTCCAAAATGTTCCAGAAAACGCTGATCGGTTGTAGCCTGTCATAATCTTCACAAGGACACGCTGGCGAGTCAGGGAAGCCAAACCTTGCGATGAACTGCTTCACAGGCACTTCATCAGAGCTCTCCAAACAGAGCGCCAAACCTTCGAGACGAACTTTCATGGTGGCCAGCTCACCCTTGAACTGATCCTTGATCTCATCGCTGCGCTGGTCCTCAAAAGAGCTCAAGAAGGATTTCTGCTTGTTCAGCTGCTCCATCGCTTTAGCCTGAAAGGTGTTGTGCTGCAACTTCACCGTCCGGATTGCGCTGCTGATGACCCGGCCCCGATCAACCCACACCTTAGGCTTCTTGGGGCTGGGCTCTGGCGTAGTTGCCTCTGTCTCTTCGTCTGCCTCTGCTTCCTCTACCATATCTGGCGGGAGGTCAAGCACATCGAGGAGGAATCCGCCGCGACCAGAAAAGCAGACTCGCCATTCATGGTGAGGGTCTGAGCAACGCTGTCAAAGCCCACGCTGACACCCGCACCATGCTTGGACAAGATCTCAGACCTGATGGCATCCACATCTTCCTCTGCACCTTTTTTCTTCTGCTCGCCAGTACATTCCACTTCTTTCTCGCGCATGTACTGCTGCCTCCATTTCACAATATCAGCAGTGGCCACCCATATGCAGAGACACCCATTCGGTCCCTGCCGGTCGAACAGCAGTTCTGGGTCTCGCTTCTCCACGTTGGTCTCCCAAGCCAACCACTGGGACTCCGCCTCAGCAGCAGATTTGCGGCCACCACGAGCCGTCGGAGCGAACTCCAGGTAAACTGCTTTGGTCATGAGCTCGCCGACGCAGTCCTTCACCAGTCCGCTTGCCGCTTTCACGCGCTCCATGTAGCGCACGAGCGACCATGAGTCTCGCTTTTTGGCTGGGCGCGAGCCATCAGCTGGCTCTGGGCACTTCTCATAGTAGGACTGAACCATGGCAAGACAAACCCGTGCTTCCTTCACGAACTCCTGCGCCTTCTCACCCTGCCTCGAGGAACTCCTCACGACCCTGGCAAAATGGCGCGCAGCTTGGACCAACGGGGCGCTGGGGCGCAGCTTGGATTACAGAGGCTCCAAAACTTGGCGATTTTTGCTGTGGCTCCGTATGCACTGTCCATACCCGCAGTCAGAAGCCAGAATACGTGGTGGCACCAGCACTTTTGACGCCTCCCACCCACAAGATGTGTCCCGCGACCTAACAAGCGTTTACACGGCCTCAGCTTTGTTAAAGTTTAGCTGGGCATCATTAACCTCATCTTTATGTAAGCGAATCTGGGGTTGAGGGTCAGACAAGGCCTTGATACCCCTCCGACTTGATCTATTAAGATCTTTTCGACGGCTGTAGGTAGACTGGTTGTTGGGCCTCCCTTTCGAATCTGAAAAATGACGCGACTTCAAAGGCTCCTGCCTTGCAGGGTTTTCAGATTGACCACAATACTTCTTGGTCAGTACCTCTCGCAGTGCAATGGCTTAACAGCCCTACAAACAACAAAAAAGAACTTATATGTTTGTTGATCACAGGATAGGTTCCGGTCCGGGAACACAAAAGATTTGCAAGCATAAGCCAGCAACACAATTTCACAGAGTGGGAGCGATGGAAGCACAGAACTAAGTTACGATTCTCTAGTTCGGGGACATTTCGCAAAAGCCATTTAATTTAGCGTCGACCAAGCAATCAGGTCTGTGACGGGCAAAAACAGAATGACCACCAGGTTCACCAAAAAGCAAGATGTCAAATTCCTGTTTTATGGCGCGAGGACATGGAAAGAATCCATTTACTAAGGCTGACCCACATATACTGATACTGATACCTGAAGTACAGCTCTGTTAATCTTTATCATGTCAACTTTCCTTTCTCGAGTTATGCAAGGCAAGAATCTCTTTACATGCTTTGTGCACCAATGACAGCCTATATCGAAGGCTTGCATGTAAGTTGCTTTCAGCGGAAATAGCCTTCAGCTGAACACATTGTGGCCAAAGCACAGGCTGCCAGAACAACGGAACACAGGATCAGGGCCAAAGACTCGAAAAAAATCCTGACGCCGCAGTCCTGACTTTCGGACTCGCAGACCAGTTTGCCACCTGCACAGCCGAGCTCACCAAAACCAAGAAGGTCTTCACCCACGACTCGCTGGCTTCGAGCCTCGACACGACCACTTCATGGCATTGCAGATCCTGCCAAAAAAAGTCATGACACCTTCATCATGACTGCAACGCTAAGAAAACCCAGCAGCCTTTCTTTCTCGTCACAGAACTCATCAACACCCCAGCACTCAAACTTGTTTGCCTGCTGGCGGCAGGGCACAGACATTTACTGCAATGGCAGCTGAAAGCGGCCTGCCTGGCATGAGTATGAATCCTCCTGGCACAACAGCACTTTTGATTCGTGCATCTCCCCTTGATCTTTCAAGGCTCCAGCCTCCTGATCACAGCCCTTCAGCGTAACCGACAGCAGAAGACTTGTCATAGCTCCGTAGATCCACAGTTGCAGCCGAGAGGCCTGAGAGTCTTCAAGGCAAACGACGCGGCTGATCTGATCTAAGCTGCAGGCCCTCATCGCAGCGCGTCTTCCACCCTGATGTCAAAGACAAGAACAAGAATCCCTGCCATCAGCAGATCAACGGACCTACCCCAACACCCTGTGAACAGATTTCAATCAGACACTTCAGTAGCAGGACAATTGCCTTGGAGGCTTGCATCTACGCAGAGCTAGCTGAGCACTTGCAACACAAAGAAGTCGCCTTCCCAAATACTCTTTCTTGAAACCTACGCACATGGACTTGTGCTTAAGCTGGGACCACTTCGGGGTGATCCAATGCACCTTCTTCGTGCCAAGCCTTTTGGTATCAACTTATTCGAGTCGCTGGTCGAAAGCAGCGAGAGCCACAAATTAACTCTTCTCTTCTGAGAAACATGACAACACCCTCAACGTTTTCTCCTCCAAAACAAGAGCTATACTAGCACAGTTCGTTCACCCAGGTCTGATCCGAAGGTTACATGATGTTGCATTTAAGATATAGGCATGCGACGTGCGTCCCCATTCAGCATTGCAACACGTGCTTTCAAGGCACGTCAGAAGACTCATGCTTCATGGACAGGAAAGAGATGTACATTCCAACTATGGTCTTGGGACCATCAAGTACTGACCTTCTGGGGCATACAGAAGCGCATATCGTTTGCCCGGGATTTGCGACAGCAGGAAACAACGTGTTTCTATTTAGCACGTCAGGGTCAGTGTGGACTTGGTGAAGTCTTGTGCTCGTAACACACTTCGCATTAGGCTCGGTTGCATGGCTTCCGGGCCCTTCAGACCCTCCTGCCACCTCAACTCAGCTCCGAAAAGGATCAGCAATCGTACGTTTTTCGAGCGAGCCCTGTGTTTAGGCTTCTGATGAATACGATATATATGAATATATATGTGCACATATAGGCCCTTAAGTCCCAGCCGAGGACTTCTCGTTTTCCTTGGTTTGTCTTTACAGGTGTCCGCAACTCCGTCAGTGTTCACTGCCGTGAACAATCATTTAACTCACCAAATCGTGCCTGAATCAGGGCACGCCTACGGCCGAAGAGTGTAATTCGCAGAACACTGGCTTGGACACAAATTGCAGCGGTGTCGGTGACAGGCTGTTGTTTGCTGTCACTTGCCTACACAGAATTGAGCAGACCACGAGAGATGGCTGGAAGGAGGAGCACTTTCCGCTCGTGGTGACTTCGGACATGACCCGCGTGCAGGAGTCCTCCAAGTCCCTAAGTTGTCAGACACAATGTACAATGCATTTTTGCAGGCACTCTATGCGTGTTTGTTAGCAGCTGCAAGATATACATCTCAAGGGTCTCTGAGTCATCCACTTCACCTTTTGGCGGAGCTCTGCGAGTTCTGGGAACTTCTTCACGGACAGCTCACCATCTTCATCGAAGGCCTGCAACCACGAGCTTCAACAACAACCTATGGCAAGCCCTTAAGGCAAGCCATGGAGCCTCTAGGATGGCATCCAGCAACCGGTCAGGCAATTCCTTAGTTCATTCGAGAGCCACTGGCTGGGTCTGAAGTAGTTGATGCTGCTTGCCTTGCTGGAATGCTTAGCTGAGGTACAATATCCTGACAGAGAGCCATCAAAGATGGTATCTGAACACCCCGCACGCTGGCCGCCTCCAAGCCTTGGATTGGCAGAACATGCGGAAGTGCATCGATAGAAACACACACAAAAAAAAATCCTCTGAATTCAACCTCCTGAGCCCTGCACCATTGCGGAGTCGCAGCAAGGCCTGGCCACATGGGACTTTACATACCAGTCCAGCGCAAGGTTGCACCAGTTATGCCAAGCTCTGTGTGGCAACCCCGAAGTCAATCCCTGCAGCTACCTCATTCTCGGGAGGAACACTTGCTAAAACACGCAATGCAGCCCAGAATATCACAGGGGTCAGATGTGCGGTGAATTGCCACAAGGCACAGCCTTGCCAGAGCGTTATAAAAATGTCAGCGCTATCATTTATATAGGGTTTGTGTGTTTTGGATTTGAGTGTTTTAACCTGCCGAGGCCGGAGACCTGGGGCGTTTAGATCCAGGGCCAGAGACTAGAAGTAAGTTAACCTTCCAAGCGCGTGGGGGGGGAGGGGGCGGGAGGGGGGTCCGGGGAAGGGGCGGGGGAGGGGGAGTTGGGGGAGGACGGCGAGAGCTGCGCTGCAGATCATAGATTGCTTGTGGGCCGTGCAAAATCAGGACGGTGCCTGCTGCCCTGCTCTGTGCTCTCACCGCGGTAGCGGTTAGATTAACCTGTAGGGTTCAGTCTTGCTAGAGTAACCGGGTCGCTTGTTTTACACGTTCTTGTCCTCTCTGCATCCAGGCAAAAGGGCCATTGGCCGACCGGGCATCCAGACACTACTAGCTTCCCCTGTGCCCCGCACTTCATGTGGTGGTCAACTCTTTTTCAGACCCTTGCTGCGACGTTTTGCGAGGCATCTTCCTCGCATCCACCACCTTCATCCATTTCCACTTTCCTCTGACCTTTCAATAACTTCACAGCTTTCGTCACATTTACATCTCTGGCAGGCTCTTCTTCTTCATGGCCCTGGTTTTTTCCATGGCCGTCCAAAGTCGGGTTCAGGGCGTTTTTGATTACAGCCGGTTGTAGGGGTGAACCAAAGGGGTTGAGGAGAACTTGCTCAACTTGGGGCTGCTTGGGGATCCCAGTTTCGAACCACTCTGCAAAGAAACCCAGGCCTCGATGGATCTGGAAACCTTGCAAAGTGAAGGGTTCTCCTTGGCCAAACAGGCAAGTGCAAATGCATTTAAAGAGAACTAAACAGTTGCATGATGACTCATTACCTGCTGATCCGTTGCTCGCTACTTCAGACTTTGTAGGCGTGATGCTGGGATCGGTGATCGACGGCTTCACATCACACACTCTGGTCCCCAGCCAGTTGCACCATACAATCTCCCAATATGATCTGCAAAGCGAGATGCACTAGTCTCAGCTTCCACTGCACATATGAAGCATGCGCAGCTTTGGAATATCCAAAACCAGCACGTGCGAAGCCGTCCAGGGTGGACCGCTGGATTCGTGGCGCCAAGTAGATTTTATGCGTGCAGACGCCTTCTGCGTAAAATCAGCGCAGGCGTCCTTTGGATCCGTGCGTAAGCTTGGAAACATGCATATTGCAGGCGAAGCTTCTTGATGAGCACACCGCATGCACGTTGGCTGCTTGGATGCACAAGTTGCACATTTGTTGTCCAGTCTCAAGAACCCCAAACAGCAGCCCCAAAAATGAGCTCTGCGGTCCCATAAACAGATGAGCATGTAAGATGGTGACGGAATTGTAACTCTCTTCTGCTTGGCGCCCCCATCCAAATCATATGAACAGACAGGACGCACAGGCTACTCCACGGCCCGTAATCCAAGTCCGAAGGGCTTTGGAGATATAGACTTTACAGCAGGTGTGGTGTGCAGAGACAACAACCGTAGGAAGACTGATGCTGTGAGCCAGTATGGCTACATTCTGTTGCAAGACACCTGACGCACCATCCCTGCTCCACCTGACCACTTAGTTCCGTGGGCCTCCAGTGCTTGGGGTGCGGTGCCTTTTCCCGTATGGTTGTTAGGGTTTAGGCTCCTTCCCTTCTCTTTACTTGGGGTCTGGCTTCGCCTTCCTTACCTGTTGTCGCTTGACAACGACCCCTCCAGGTGCTCCATGGCTCGCCTGCTGCGCTGGCAGGAATCTTCACTTCCTTCCCCACCCCACTGCTTCTAAACCACCTACGGGTCTAGGTTTTTGCAAACATTGCCAGTGGCTACGTTCCTGGAATTCTCCTAGGAAAGTGACGCGGCCGCTGTGCAGACAACAGAGGTGCTCCTTTCCGGGGAAGACAGTGCATTGAAATCACCCTAACCTAGCAGCCTAGCCACAGGAATACTGCCTAGTTTAGCTTGGCGTTCTATCCAGCAAGAGCTCCTCTACCGGTGCGCGCGCAATGAAGACCAAGGGGACAGACATCTGGAGCACCCGTTGCGCTTCGGATAATTTCAGGAAAGTGCTCCCAACTAGTTGTCGTTCACGTAAGTCTTTAGCCTTCTCACGCAAATATGCGATGGACGGCCATCAGTCTAGAGGGGATTTTCTCAGTGTGCCTCCAAGATCCGATCAGGGCACAGATAAGACGCACGTTTTCATTGCAGCATGTCTATTGATGCTATAGGTTGCATCCTTGCTGATCTACAGGTATGCACCCTTGAGCTTCGAGTGGCAGCATCTGAATCAAGTCAACCCGCGGGGCATGCTACCTGTAAGAAGATCCAAATGAAATGGTAGACTTTGTCGATGCCTCACTGGCTGTTCATAACGGGAGTGGCGCAAATGATCCCGTCAGAAGATGCGTAGCTTTCCCTATAGCGGTAGCATCTAGGTGTTGGCATCGGTTGTACTGTTCCCTGAGGGTCTTTTGCTTACGCGTATTCGCTTATCGACTATGAAGTCTCTTGGGTTACCCCTGTTGGGCTTAGACTCAGCCTTCTTAGCGTTGTGGCTTGTTAAGGTACATGTTGTCGGCATGGACCCTTTTCGATCCAGCCTCTCTCCCAATCAAAAGCGTGTCAGAGGGATGGGGGCCACGATCCTCGTAACATTCGTTGCTTTGGGACCCTTTTTTCTTGTCGCATCAAAACCGTCAACAGTTACAGGGATGGAGGTTCTGGGGGTCGACATCCTCGTAGCTGTCGTCGCTTTGGGACCGTCGTGTGGGGAGTGGAAAGTGGATTGGAAAGGAAAGAAAAAAGGTGGAGTGGAAGGTGGAATGGAGAGTAGGGAGTGTGGAGAGTGGGTTGTCGATAGTGGCATGTGGAGAGTTCAGTGGATAAAGAATTGTGGAGAGTGGACTGTGGAGAGTGGAGAGTCAAGCTAGGTGGAAAGTCGTGGAGTGCTGCGCGGAGAATACTAGAGAGTGGAGAGTAGAGTGTGGATAGTAATTAATGAGGAAACTGGGGTGTAAACTGGTATAGAGAGTGGAGTAGGGAGAGAGTGGGGTGTGGACTGTTGTGTAGAGAGCGGAAAGTGGTGAGCGAAGAATGGATCGAGGAGAATGGAGCGAGGAGAATGGAGAGTGCAGTGAGGAGAGTCTTTGGCCAGTGTTCTGCGTATGGTGTCGTGTGTCATGCATTCGTTGTCTGCACGAATGTAGTGGCACATGTGCATTCAGGTTCGTGGACTCCTATCAAGATCATCTTTTTGAAGGCATCAGTATTGGATATATGATGACAACTGGATCGTCATGAACTCGTGATTAGGATGTTTTACTAATGTTGTTCATCCATGTAGTTAGCGTGCGATTCGCAGTTGGCATCTTACAGGATAGCCCAGCTCAGTGATGAGCCTGGAGTCCTGTTAGACATGGATCCTGCAGCCAAGGTTGTCCCCCGCTCGCAATTCCACAAGGTTTGGCAAATGCCGTGTTCTTGGTGACCACTGTACTGCCGGCATCGAATGGGATCCCTTCGGGGTGCCTCACAGTAAGTGTCCTTTTTCAAGAGGTCTGCAAGATAAGCGAGCCAACAGCCTGTTGGACGCTTGGGGTTGAATCCTTGTGGCTCAGTAGGGGCCTGGCCAAAACAGCTCCACGGGTGCACTGCTCGACCTGGCAAGCATGGCAGTTAGCAAGGAAGTTGAAAAGAACCTCATGCCTCCTCGAGAATGTCCAGCTTCTCTTCGAGATCTAAATCAGCATCTTCAAGCTGAGTTAGCTCAAGAACGGTTGCATACAACGCTCTCGCTTCTTCAGGTGTGTCTGCCATCAGCTCCTCCGGATTCACAGCCATCTCTGCTGCCATAGCCGTGTAACACAACGCTTGCAGCTTCTCTAGCACATAGTCCAAGTCCAGAGACTCCAGGGTTCGTTGCTTCAGTGAATCTGCCAATTCCACGTCTACTGCATCACCGACAAACTCGTCTCCATACTGTGCGGCAGCTAAAGATGTACGACAGGGCTGACGTCCACAGGATTGGCGTGAGCATCTGCGCTTAATTGCACGGAAGACAGCCGGGGCCAGCAGAGCTGCAGTCCACTTGCTTCGTACAACTGAACAATACCGGCTATGTCCAGGCCCAGGGCTTGACTCCACCCGGCGAAGCAGTTGGTGAGGCGCTTGCGAACTTGCAAGCGCAGGCTGGAATTTAGAAGCGCAACCATGAACTTGCGCCATCCCAGGCAAACAGCTTCACATGATGGTGTCTGATGTGCCCTTACCAGAAGTAAATACTTCTTACAGGACCTCCTCCCTAATGACAGCATAAAATGACCGAATCATCTTCAGCTTGACACCCATCATGAATGCATACCTGAGTTTACTCTTGCATGCCTGCATTTCTGGTGCTCACATCTCGAGGGGCAGAGTAGCTGAAAAAATGAATTAGGCTCCTGAGGCGGCTTACGATCTGCAAAAAGTTTGCCAGAAGCCTCTGAACTAACGACACAGTGCTACAATCTGAAAGCAAACCGATTTCTGCTCAGATGCGCAGGCATCACCATGTATGATGATTTCAGCCTCGACTGTTCAGTACAACCAACCTGAGCAAATCGCACATGGCAGATGATAGCAGCAAACCACAGAGCAAACCTTCAGAAGACTTCAAGATCTTCAAGTAAGCTTCAAGCTCCCTCGCTGCGGTTGCCGCATCCTGCAGTATGCTTTCAAGCCAGTCTGGGGACGGCCCAATGCTTCACCGACTGGGAGCAGGACGCGCTGGAGCTTTCTGCTGCATCCGAACCAGATTGCTGGTAAATGCCTTCAGGCACAAGCCTCCATCACCTCTGTGTGTAGGACGACATGTTGGGAAGGCCTCTTTTCTGCATGCCCAGCTCATCGACAGGAAAGACTACAGCCTGACATTGAGCACTTGCAATCTATCTCAGAAATACAGCTGCTTCATGACAAGTTTCAGATCACATCAGAAAGAACTCTGCTGATGCCTGCAACGCTTTGGATATTACACCAAGAGGCAGACACGGAAATCAAAGTAAGGCACTTCCATGTCAGATAAAACTGGCAAGAATGCTGTGTAAAACTGGCAGCTTTTTTCGTGTCAAACTTTGGACCCTAAAACAGCCCTGGACCCTCAAGGAGGCCCTGCAGGCTGCACATGCTGAACAAGCTCTGCACATTGGTAGGAGCCAGAGGCTCATTCAAACAAGAAAAGCCCTGAAATTGCCGAGTCTGCAAAAGGCCCCTGCTTGGAGTTTGGAGATCACTTTTTTGCACTCGTGATTCTGAGCACGGCCTTGGCCTCGAAGTCTGTGTAACCATGGCAGGTGCCAGCATGGTACGCCTAAGCCGAAAAAAAGACCTTTTTTTGGCACAGTTTGCCTCTCCGAGCACCGCACATGCAAACGGTGGACCTGGGCTGCTCGTCCAGCCTAGATGGGAGACTCCCAGTGACACATGCTGTGACCAAGTGAGGACATCGGCCTCGCCAATTCTGTCCAGCATGCTGGCCACTGGCCTTCAGCCAACTCCAAACCATGCTCGCATCTTGAATTCACAGCATCTCATGACATCTGCACGCACGAAGTATCGTTTGCAGAGCAGATTGATGTGGACCACATGATTGAATGAATGAATGAACATCTGCTAACACTTGGGCTGGTGCCGAGATGATTCAGCGTCAGATAAAGGTTGCAAGAGGCCCTGGGCACTCCACAAATGAATGGCAATGCTCTGCATCCATATCACATGAAGTTGCCTCGCCTTGTTTCTTCAGCCTCTTCAACCTCGTTATCCTTCACATTGAGCCCTCCCTTGCCCTCCCAAGAAGCAGGCACTGAAAGCCAATGCAAGCCCAGCAGTTCAGAAGCCGAAGAAAAGTGAACGACCAAACAGACATACAATGGCAACAACATGAAGGTTTGCGGCTCCTTCAGCTTCTACAACCATCAGATGGCAGTCTTGCTTCTGCAGTCCTGACTCGCGGAAATGGTGGTTTTCTGCCCCGCATAAATATTTGGCCCCTCCTATGATGCAAGTCTGCTTCTTGCTCTGGGTTGAGCTTTTGCAGCCTCAATTCAACACCTCCCTGAAAATCTTCCTAACGAGGTCTGTAAGACCCGCCTGGGTCGCGTGCGCAGTGACGGCTCTATGTTGCTGGTCAGTGCAGCAAAGACTCAACAGCTGATAACAAGTTTTCCGCGCTCTGTGAAATAGACTCTGCATGACCCATTTCTGGACAGGATACTTGCTGTCCACAACACTTGCTATGCAGAAGCAGGCACAGCGGCAGCCACCAACGCTCTAAAAGCAGCGTGATTGCCAAGATTGCCTTACAATTTACCGCACGAATCAAACTATTTTCAAAAGACAACTCAATGAGGCAAAGCAGCGGAAACAGCAGATAAGCATGACCCATTAACATCAAATGCAGCAACTGAAGCCACGGCTTGCAGATGGCGGTACCGCACCTGCAGCGTAGTAAAGAGTCATGCAGGCATTACCTTGAACGGAAGCAACATGATTGAAGCGTCTCGGCTGTCTAGGGCCTGAATACCCCTAGTTAGGTTCAGACTGGCGTGTCATTTGGTAGCCACAAGCCCCATGTGGGACCTCCAACTTGTCAACGTGGTCTGCAAAATGGAGTCTACAAATGTGCTCCTGAGCTGCTCCCATCTACCCATTTGAAACTCAAAGTATTTAAACCACAGCTTCCGGAGCTCAGCCGACGCCATTTGTCATGTGTTGGACGATCCTGCCCTTCCTCCCGGCATCTTCAAACGTTCGCAACAGAAGTGTGCACGACCTCCAGCACTTCTTGGCTTTTCAGCGCGTTCTGCATCTCGGCAACCTGGAGCTAAAACACACCCGCGCCACAACCAGCACCACAACCAGCAAAACATGCTTAGAACAGTCTGCAAACATAGCTACATGAATCAAGCGTCGACAAGTTCACGAACAAACGAATCACCACCACCGCCGACGCCGCCGACGCCGCCGACAAAGGACGACGACCACCGACAACCAGCGCAAGACGACAACCACCGAGAGGACGAGCCGACCGAGACTGGACAACGAAACCGAGGGTAGAAGAGAAAAAAGGAAGAAATAAGCATCAAACAAGACAAGGATCAAAGAAAATTGCTGCTTTCATGGTAGAAAACATTGTAACATGGATGACCGGGGATCAAAAAATAGGACCAAATCGAATGGCGACTTTCAAAAATTGGGATTGAAAACTTAGGTTTCATTGAAAAAAATACGCACAATATTCGCGGCTTTTGGAAGGTTGGAAAAACTGTACACCACAGCATTCGCAGCCCTCCCTTCCTTCCTCAATAAAACTGCGCAAGTAGCAAGAGTAATACTAATACTACAAACCCCAAGAATCCCCAAGCCCTAACAAGTGTAACCCTGATAACCCTCAAACCCTAGCAACCCTAAACACCCGGAACCCTAAAAGCCCTGAAGGCTGTAAACCCCAACAATCTTGGAAAAAAAACTTTAAAAACCCCAAGCCCTAAACTCCACCCGTAAAAACTCTAGAACCGCACGGACCCTAAACACCCCAAACCCTCAAAACCCTGAACCCAAACGCCTGAACCCAAAAAACTAAAATTCTAAACAACCCTAAGATGGCCTAAATCCTACCAACCCAAAACCCCTCGACTCTTCAAATCCTAAAATCCCCTAGAACCCCAGGAACCCAAAGAACCCCAAGAACCCCAAACCCTCCTCCAAATACGGAGGGCTACCTTGGGAGCTAAAAGCATTTCAAACCATACAGGGGATTATTCACAATCCGGCTTCCCGACGGCACTTCCGCATGGAGCGTCCTCAGAATCCGGTGTCCCCACGGCGCTTCCGCGTCGTGCAGAAGCATGCAGGGTCCTCAGAATCCGGCTTCCCGACAGCCCTTCGGCACGGAGCGTCCTCGGAATCCGGCTTCCCGACGGTTCACCCGCATGGAGCGTCCACAGAAACTTGCTTAATTTGATAGCCCGACGGCGCTCCCGCACAGAACGTTCTTAGAATCCGATCTCCCGACGGCACTACCGGTGAGGCGTCCCCAGTATCCAAAGAAAGCTATCTAAATTTCCGCTGGAAGCTTAGATACGGCGATGGCCTGGCCGATCTGAAATCCTGAGCCGTTATGTGTTTTGGCCAGATGCCTTTCGGTGCTGGGATACTGATCCATTGTGCGTCTCAGCCTGATCCAGTTGGCTGATCCGTTACCCGAAACCGTTACGCACCTGCAGCTTCCTATGCTGCACAAATCCTAGAAAATCTTTGCGGGAATGCTGAAGGCTCTCCTTAGCGTTATTTCGGGCTTGATATTTAGGTGCATCTAGGTTTTAGGGCTGGGGTCTGGTGTTTCGTCAGTATAAAGTTTAAGGGGGCAAAGCTACATTTTGTTGGCGCCTCAAAGAACTTTCACTCGATCAACTTGAATTAGCAGCAAGAGCAAGCGCGCTCCGGATCTTTTTGCTGCTCTGGCATGGGGTTGAGCATCCTGATCAACATTCTCTTCCGATCCACGAGAACTGAGACAAGTGCAGCTCGCCAACTGCGATAGTTCGGTCAAGAGCCTTCGCGGCTCGATCAACTAAAAAACAGACCTCTTCACGAACAGCAGCGCTACCCACCCTTTATCGAAACAATCCATTTCCAGCACCTGAATTACAAGCTGCTGGTTCGCAAAGTGCAACACCCCAGCAGAAGTGGCAAGCTCCCATTCTTTGTACACAATCGCGTCTCTCCTTTTCCGTGTCAGGCTCGGCGGGCTTGGCGGTCTTATGAACTGGCGAAGAAAAACTCCCAGGTCACAGGCACACTGAACAATAAAGAGAACATGCATCCACAGAAGAAAGCTGAAGCACGAGGGCTGCAGAACAATTGTATGTTTCAAGCTATAAGATAACTCGATCCAAATACAAGAAAAAAACGCGTGAATTTCGTTGAACGGGTTACAGTGGTCTGGAAGAATCGTTGCTGGTCCAGCACGATATAGCTCGCATTGAATGAGGCCCGAGATTGTCCTTCGGGTGATTCTTTTTCTATACGGACGGTGTTGATGACCAAACCAACATGCACAACAATACAACGGCAGCTTCAAATTAACCTCTCTCAAACTGCCAGAACCAAGCCAACACCATCAGTCATGTCAGCCAGTTGACAACACCCTCGGCTCACAATGCCAGCAACAACAGCCACAACACTGT